ATTGGTTTGTTACTTAAAGTAGCCCATATCTATAACTGGTATTTCCTTTTTGGTAGCCAAGATGATATAATACACACACTAGATACATAGCACAAAAATGCAATTCTTGTGCTGAATGACCAAGAAAAGTTTTAATTGGAACAGGCTACACATTTAAACCAAATGATACCTTAGACAAAAAAGCATTTTTCATAGACATTTAATCAGACTAATGGTTTTGGGTCAGTACGTTTTTCAGCATTTTAGAACTAATAGATGTCACCCTCTCACATCTCATTTTTATAAATTGGAGAAGGAAACTCAGCTTTCTTCAAATCTCAACTGGTTTCTCAAGTTCTATTACATTATTGAAGTAGCTGTTGGATTGAGGACATCTGATGGGAAGAAAATAGCCTTCCAGCAGAAGAGACAACAGATGGCCAAAATTCAAGCAGATATATACTGGCTAAATAATGCTCTTTATATAACCTAAAGTTTCTTAATAGTGTAATATGAGGGGTTATCACAGGTCATGATGATTGTTGAAATGCATGAAAACTATTTTTAATTTTATTTTTTTTTATTATTATTTAGACTTCTTTTAGCTAATTGACTGTTGTTGTATTTGAAGACCCTTACAATCTTGAGAAGATTTTTGCCTGTCCGTTGCCAGCAATGATCCTATGCAAACTACTCAGCCTTGTCACAACTTTGTGACTCACTTCTGCACTTGGATCATGTAGGGACAGCTAAACAAATGCAAGTTTAGCAAGACAGGAATCTCTCTTTGGCTTTGAAGCACTTAAGAGTTTAATTTCACAGATTCAGGGAGTTATACTTACTCTTTTCAGTGCTATGCTTGTTTTTTTTAAGTGCTTTTTCCCCTCCCTACCATGATCTTCATTCATGGAGAATTTTGGAGCATTTTTTTTCCTTCCTCACATATGCAACAATTAGTCTCACACTCCACAAGCTTCAACACTTGAGTGCAAGGTATTGCCCTAAAAAATACCTTTTGTCTTTAAAAGAAAACAAGTCTTTCAGCTCCCTAAATATATGTAAGGTTTGATTTACCTCTGCATTATAAATGTATATGGCCTGTGAAAAAGTGTGGAGTCCAAAGACACATAGATAAATGAATGTACATACAGTTAGATACTTATCAAAAATACATATATATACATATAGACATGCACAATTTGTGCAAGATTAACCAAAAATGAGGTAAATCCAGGAACAGATTAAATAAATTGCTATAAGAAAATTGACATCTGGAGACTTTTCTTCAGACTTAGTATGAAGCGCCTGGAAAAAGTTTATTTCTTTTTCTATTCTCCTTCTCAAAGGTATAATTAGTGGTTTTCTGTGCGTGAGGGCCAGCACATGTATTATATGTGTGTTCCTGTATGCTTTATATTCACAAATGTGTGTGTGTGGGTATATAAATGTATATGCACACAGATATTTTAAATATTGTTTGTCATTAAAAATATTTTACAACAAAGTAAACAGTGAAACAGTGAAATAGGAATTATACATATTTTTTTTGTTTCTGAACTGAGGAACTCTGGTAAGAATGTCAAAAATTATTCCCATTGGGAAAAGTAACAGCACTGAGATGAGCTCTTACTGGCACCCCTCCATGACCACAGCTCCAGCAAGGAGCCCAGCTTCTCCCAGGACCCCAGGGCCAAGCAGGACTCCATGCTGGTGCAGATTCTGCCTACTCTGAACCAGATCAGTTCACAGGATCGAGGCCAGAAGGAAAAACTGCCATGCTGAAGTCAATGAAGCTCTCAAAGCAATCTTCTCTTACAAGAAAAGTTCCGCTAGGTAGCATGCTTCTCTGCGGTGCAAAAAAAGATAAGAAAGGGACTGTGGTGTCTAAATGAAAGCAGTATCAAGTATAATTCACAATATCTTGTGCCACTGTGATGTGGCCACTTCCACTGGTTTTTCCTAAAATTTCTAAAAGGTGCATCATGCATTTCCAATGCTGTTCATCTCTGCTATTGCTGTTGATTGCGGTGCCTTGAATATGCAGTTCAGATTTTATTAAATAAGGTCATACAGTGGTCATGGAGAACATTTGAATTTTTACTAGATAATTGTTAGCAATCAAATAAATCAGAAAAGAATGAAGATACTTCATCACAAAGGACTATTTCTACCTTTACTTTAACAGACCAGTTTATTAATACAATGTCCTTAGTACTGGCCTACTGTAATTCTTACTTTGTTTTGCAAGTGAAAAGAAGTTTCATAAACTTCACTTGAAAAGGTTATACATGTGTAGAAGTGAAAGAAAGATGAAAAATCAGCAATCACACCCCATCTAGGATGATTCATCTTCCATAGAGGAAGAGATAAATCTCTCTTTTCTGGAAAAAGAATATGCAAAACAAGTCTATAAAACCATTGAGCAATATCGAAAAATAAATAAAGCTGCAATCAAATAGAACATACAATGAGAATAAGATAAAAAATGTACAATGCCTGTAGGCAAAAGGTAATGGTCAAAAAACAGTCAGATGACCAGAAATACTTGAGTCTAAATGAAGATATTGTTACAGGATATTGTAATGTGAACTAGGAGAAAGGAAAGAAAATTAGTGTAGCATGAAGGTAAAAATCATAACAGAAAGCATAGCTGTCTGCTGGTGGAGAAACTATATCTGTGTTAAAGAAATCCTTGGCAGTCAAATAATGTGATTAAGTCATCCACATCAACAAGTCCTAGGGTATCACTCTGGATTGAAATTGTGGGTTATAGGTTAATACTGGGGCAACATCAGTGGAGCACAGTGGTGACCACGGCCTCCAAGATCCAAAACAGAACAGTAATGGAAAATTCCAGTCATTGCTTATCCCCCTGACAATGGGGAAATGTCATTGTGGGCACCACACAGACACAGAAGTTGAAGACATCGTAAATGACTATGTTTCCTCAAGAAAAGTGAAAAGAAGCAGTCCCCAAACTGGTCTAGGTGAATACTATATATATATAGGGTAAAAAAGCACTGTATCAGATCCAGTTCAAGATGTAATCATAGAAAATGTAACTCTCTAGTGACTAAACTACCGAAGTTTAATACTCTAAGAGGAGAAAAAGGTTAATAAGTCAATTACATTAACACGACACTTTAAGAATTGTGGTTAACAAAAACAGAGAAGATTATTAAGAAGAAGAAAAGAAAGAAGAAAAGAGAGAGGAAAGAAGAAAACTAAAGGAAAAGAAAGAAAAATAAGAAAAATAAGAAAAATAAGGGAAAAAAAGAAAGAAAAGAAAAAGAAGAAAAAGAAGAAAAAGAAGGAAAGGAGAAAGATTGTTTGTGTCAGAACTCAGCAGAGAGAGGTTTAAGGAAGTTTGCACAACAAGTCTTTATTTACAGGGGTGAGGCTGAGGGGTTAGGTCAAATTGAACTGTCAGTAGAGAGGTTTTAGAGCAAATCAATAAAGTGAGTAGCAACACATTGCCAGGAACAGGTAACAATCTCTCGAGGGATCTAAGGGAATTCAAATATAAAATTGCTGAACTTTTCACAGTAGTTTGTAACCTATAGCTTACATTGGCCCAGGTTCCAGAGTAATGGAAGGTGGCAAATGTGGCCTCAATTTTTAAAATAATCTCCGGAGGGGAGCCAGGAAACCAGAGAATGGTAAATTTGACTTCCTGCTGAGGCAGACTGATGGAAGTTATAATAATGAGCAGAATTAGCAGACATGAATATATACAGCTTACTGGAGATAGAGGACAGGGTTCATAAATAAAGATATTATGCCTCACAAATCCCGTACAGTTCTTTGAAAGGATCATTGCCCTTGTAGACAAGGGCAACTTGAGAAAAAAAATTACCTTTGGATTCCTAAACCTTTCTAAAATATCCCTTCCTAAACAATCTTACAGAAACCTAACGTCAGGGGGAGATTGCTGTGCATTAATAACTGCTCAAAGCAGATGGAGCAGCAGGCAGGAATAAATGGTTGCTATTCTTCCTGGAGCAGTAACTTGGGGAATCCCAGGGGGATCTGGCTGGGAATAGCCACAAATCACCTAGAAAAGTTGAAGAACATTGAGAGGGGAAAGTTTGCTGGTCTTTTGGAAGCAGTCAGAACAATTGAAACCAAAGCATACTGAAGAATTTTGAAAAGTTTGCATCATGCTGAATGGGTGATAAAATGGAAGATAAAATTAACCCTCGATAAAGGCGAAGTAATTCACACATGGGAACGCAGTCCTAAGCACGCTTTGGCAATTATCAGATCCAAATTTAGCTGGTTTTATTTTGGAGATGAGGCACAACTCCGGACAGTTCTCCAAACACATCTGCTTGACAACCTTTCATTGTCAAAAATTTGAACAACATTAGGGATGGACTAAGACAAAGCAGCATTATTTTAATAATGCTGTCCCAGCTTAGAGACAGGGTTCGCTTTTGTCTTGGCCTCTGTCTCACAAAGGAGGTGGAAGTTAGAAAACTTCAGAAAGAATGTTAGCAAAAATTAGCAGAGGCTTCTGGAAAAAGTGGAGCATTATATATGAAGACTGCTAACACTGAAAAAAGGTCCAAACAGGGCACACCTAAGACATATAAAAAGCTTGAATTGTATGGAGAAGAGGAGGACCGAACAATTCTGCTTTTCCCAATACAAGAACTGGGATCATTCAGCAGAAAGTTTTAACAGCACATCTAAACCAATCAAAAATAATCTTCCACCTAGCACATAGAAAATTGTGGAAGTGCCAAAACATGCCACAGAGGTTTAGCATATGAAGAGTTTTAAAATAAAATCAGGTGTCTATGGAGTGAGATCTTTGAGTGTTAAACAGCAACTCTGCTCAGCAAGCCCCTAATCCCTGATTTCTAGAAACTGGGAAAGTATAACAATGTAAGGATTATAATCAGCCTCTTTCTCATGGGCTCTCCTTGCAGCTGCTGTGGCCAGATGGGATAAATGGAACTTTTGCTCTGACCCAGCATATCATCTTTAAATTCTCTGTGTGCTTTTCTTCACTTTAGGAGTCTGTTATCTGGCAGTGCTGAGGCAAGAGAGATGGCCTGATGGTTGTGGTTGTGGAAACTCAGTTGCACAGAAAAGCTTGACGGAAAGAGCAAGATTCTCTCACACTTCCTAACAGCTCAAAATAGCTGATAAATTCTCCAAACCCAAAGTCTGTCACGTTAAAAGGTAATAATCCCTCAACCCAGAATGTTGTGCATGTAGAGTGTTTGGGTAGAAAACAAGAATATGCTGTAATTGATGTGAGGAAAATTAATAAAAAATAATTAAGCCTGAGCTGTGAAGTTCTAATGGCACTGAAAGTTAAGTGCACACTCCCTAGGCACTGTGGGATTCTCCTCCACCATATCTAATGTATGCATTAGCACTTTCCCTTTCAAACTTTGAAAATTCACAGACACAGAAATCCCTGAAATAGAAATAGGGGAAAGGCATGATGAGCTGGGTCTACCACACATAAAAAAATACTATTCTCTAAAATAATCACGGTCATTTTTAATAACACAAAATATCATTTTTTAAAGTAAGAGAACTTGCTGGAAGAAGACAATTTGCAGCTTTTTTAACAGAAGTTGCAGCTTTGTTTCGTACAACAAATACTGAGTACAGTGGAAGCTGCTCTGCTGGCTGACAGCTCTTCAACTCCTGGGAACTGCTGCTCTCTGGTGCTCATCTTCCAAACAAATCTGGGACAAATTCCCTTTCATTCACTTCACTGTGTTTTCAAGGTTGCTATTGAACTGCCTCATCAAGAGAAGAATCAAGATGTTCAGAATCAACTCATGTTCAGACACACATCCTTTCTAATTAACTGTTGGGAAATAATGTGCACTTGAATTGTAAAATGGGGCTATGCAATATGTAAAAGAGATTCAGTCAATTTCTAGATTGGGGTTTGTACAGCATGGTCTCTTCTATGCATGTGACATAAATAGCAAAGAAAATTCTAATTTTGGTAGTGGTGGCAGTCTAGTTTAAACATTTTCAGCAGAGCACGTCTGGACTCCTCATTTCAACATTATTTTCATTTTGAAATTGATGGAGGCATCTTGAAAATGGGGTTAAATAACCTGAAAATGAAACAAAGCACTCTTTTTTGCAGCTGGATGGTTGACTCACTGTTTCTCAAAGAGACTGTTTGCTTTAAAAGAAGTATAAATCCTATGTTAGGTCCCTACAGTCACAAGGACCTTTGATGCATTTTGCAAGTGATGGCTTAATTTCTGTTTTGATTTTATAGTACAAAAACTACATGGCTGAAATAATGAATGATTTGGTAATATATCTTTCACTATTTATTGCTTATTTTCATCGCAGTTCTGCCATTTTTATTCCCTCTGCAAGCCAGTACATCTTCCTTGATGTGAGAGGCTGGTGAACTAAATAAATATAAAGCAGAAACTGTCTGCAGAAAAATGTCTATTAGAAGTTCTCTCCTTTCCGTTTTAGATAATTATGTCCTATAAACTGCACAAAGGAAATAACAAAGTCAGCCAGTAAATCAGAGGCAGTAAGTAGAAAAAAAGAACTGTTGATGCTGTCTTTAACTGATGAAAATGGATATATGCATGAAACAGCAATCATTTACAAAATCATAGTTATTTCTGACTTTACCAAAATGCCTGCTGCTCATTACAAAGATTTAAGAGGTTGATGCTGGGAAGGGTAACAGTTATATTTAATGAAAGTTGCAGCACTCATGCTTTCTGGGCTACTGCAATTATATTTAACAGAAACTGTAGAAGCATTTAGTTCACCTTTAGCTGATCATCAAAACATCCTATGTTGCCATTTGCAGTGATTTCAACATCCACTGCTTGTCATAACTCTTGAGAGGTTTTGTTAATATTTCTATTTCCTTCTTGTGCTGCTTTTGTTAAAAATGCTTGTCTTTTAAATATTATATGCACCAATTTCAGGTACAGAAAACTTGTGTAAACCTACCTATGTGTACAATAAGAAAGTTAGGGAGTTACGAGCAAGAGGGCAACAAGAGGTGCTTGTGCTGGCCAAACTTATGCATACTTCTAAAATTTAAAAAAATGTCATGTTATATAATAACTGACTGTAAAATGTCAGCACTGGAGTATCCTGTTTTATTTGGCGAGTTTTTTTGATATAGACGCTTCATAAAAATAATGCTTCTCCAAATCATCCTTACACAATCCTTTTTACTGTCTGTTTGCATCATGTGTTATGGGGTATCTATCTCCAAAAAGATTATCTTCATACAACTTGCCATGTACAAACGTGGTCTACATTTTAGCTGCCAACAACTCAGGAATCATCTGTAGCTATAGGTTCCAGCTGAATACTTCCAAGGCATGTGTTGTAATAGAATTGTTCTTTGGATCATCCTACAAAATTAGGAAACTGTGAGGTAAACAATTATCATATAATTTACTGAGTGATTGGGGGTGGGGGAAAAGTGGATGCAAGGAAGCCCTTGTTTCTTACTCATAGTTTATAACTTAAATGAGCACAGGGTAAACATTGGTGAAATAGGTAGAAGGGCATGGCCTGCAACTAACCCCAAAATACAAGACAGAGATACAGAGACAGTGTCTATTAGCAAGGAGAAATTTAGAGTTAGATCAATGGAAATTGAAGTTTGAAATGATGCTGAGGGCAACAGAAGTTCAGACTCATCATTAAGGTTCACTGGTGCTGTCCTGCTGATGAAGTTTTAGTACTAGATGCATAACCTTCAACAGTTGTTTTGGGTTCATGGGCTCATATAAATTCTTTCATGTGTATCTCCACATTCAAATTTGCAGCTTGAGGGTTGATAAGGAGGAGAGGGCCGTTGATATCTTGACCTGGTCTGTCCTGCGCCATGTCTGGTTCCAAAGTGTGGAGCCGTGCTGTGACACGATGAGTAAGGTCTGGCTTCATTTTGTATTCTTCTTTTCCTGCTTGCAGTTTTTCCTCATGTGGTGTGGGTCTGTGGAAGCAATGAAAACAGAGGATCTGACCTGGATAGATAATATGGGAAAGGTAAGGAGCAAGGAGAGGAAAGAGAAGGGGAGAGAGGTTAAGGCCTGAGAAACCCCAAGACATGCTCCAGAAGGTGAGGAGTATGCCTAATGTTGCCTCCCATGTCTCCCCCTGGGCATTCATTCAAGTGATCCCACATTACACAGATCTTTTTTCTTCCAGTCATGGACAGGTGCTGGAAATGACAGTTACGCCAAGATTAGATGATCGTGAAAATCCTTTTGCTTCTGATTAAATTCAAATAAAACTGGTGGCATAAAAGATTCTCACTGAACATCCAGGGCAATTGGATCAAGGCTTTTTTGATTGCTGTCTATCATATTCTGCTACTGCAAAAATGTGATGGAACTGGCCTGGAGAAAAGTGGACTGTTGTTTGCACAGAGCCAGCAGAAATGTAGCCACTAACTGGCTGAAAATATTTCTTGTGTAAAATGTTCAGCTTTGAGAAGTAAGGCCTTAAGTACTGATGTAGTTTAGATGGTTCTGGATTTGGCTGAAGCTCAGAAGCTTGCTTTCTGTCCGTACAAATAAGTTACTGAATGTCCAGTCAAGACATTCCTAAAAACAGAGCTTCTTACAGTTTTAAATTAATTGCTAGTAGTAAGTCATTATGATTTTTTGTAATAAATTAGTTATAGTTCTTAGTATGGTTCTGATAGTTGCAGCCAGTTCTTAAACTTCCAGGAAATGTGCTGTGGGATGTAATGTTTCTATAGAGATTTTTTTTGTTATGCCACAGAATAGGTCTACAAATGTACAGTGGGGTGTTCCCTCTTCTGCAATCCATATATCTCTCAACTGTATATTACAGTGGTGTTTCACACAACAAGAGCGTGTCTTCCTGTAATTGTCTTTCCTGAAGATGTCTTCATGCCCTCCAAAAGGATGGAGAGAAGAGATAGAGATAGAAAAATAAGTAGAAGTTTTTAGTTTTCAGAGAAGTAAAATCTTGCCTGTACTGTTGCTGGTTTTGTTTCTCTGTATTGTTCCTTGTATTGTGCCCTTTTGCTCCTGCACACACAGCTTTACTATATTTTATGTCCATATTCAACTTTGTGTTAGAAATAATCTGAGATTTAGGAAGAAGAGGTTATTAGAAGATATAGTACTGTTCACTCAGTTTTAAAATAAAGAACAGGTTACTATAGCACATTGAAATGGAAATAGATTCTTTTTTTTTTTTAAAACAAACCATTTTTTGTTCGAAACTCAGGGGACTGGGAGAGCCTAATAAGTAAAGCTAATTTCTTTAAAAAATAAAAATGGAAGGAAAATTACATATGGAACAGAATTATTGATATACAATAAATATATAATGAGCTATTTCTTCAAGCTGCTAAAACCAATATGAGAAGCTGTAAGAATATTCCTAATGACTAAATTTCGTTATTTAATTTATTTCAGTGGATTTCTGTAGATGTTATCCATATTCTCTATTAAAGTAAAAGAAATTTTGTTGAAGAGAATTTTTTGAAGAAACACTGCAATTCCTATTGAATCTACAAAACATTTTTCAAAATAATTTTAGATTTATAGACATTAACTCTTGTATTGAAAATCTGGCTCAAAGGACTGAGTGGATTGTGACTATGACATTTTTATTATGACATAGAGTTCAACAAAATAATTAATTTTTAAATTAAGAACTTAAAATATCCTTATCATTTTCTACAGAACAAGAATTTTTCTGCAAATTATAATAAAAAGAAAAACAAAATCGACTCCACATATTCCAGAACAATGCCTTCACAAATTAAAGATTTAGAACCCATCCAAAGAGTACTAGTTTGGTTTTTTTTCTTTTTCCAGCAGTACTGCGGAATGTTGTTTCTGCAAAGAAAAAAGAGACCGTTACTGAACACAAGAATTGCTGAATAAAAGAAGCTAATCTTGCAACATATTTGTTGAGAAACCATTAATATACTTCCCTGTTTAAGACCAGCTGGCACATCATAGAAGACTTTTATGAATTTTCTGATTTTAATTAATCCCTCAGGGTTCTCCATTGACCTCAGGACAGTTACACAAGGATGAGATTTGTCTTCTTGTTAGAAACAATTCTGTTTATAAATATGTCTTTAATTTTGGTAGAAGCTGGGTGGATTCTTTACTCTTTCTCTGTAGAGCACTGTGAGTACAAAGTTATTTGTCCTTTGTTTGGCTGCTGCTTAATTAGACTTTTAAATTCTAACCAAGCTTTTTATGGGGCTTACCTGATGCTGGGCTTTTGTCATAAACCCAGCTTTCATCACAGGCTCACATGCTCCTGCTTGCATCTGCCACATGCTTTCTAGGATTTTCTAGGTAAAAGAGCCCAAATTTGTGCCTTTGAAGATGTGGGTAACCTAAGGGCAGAGTCTTATGTGGCTTCTCTTTTTTTCAGCTGCGATGTCTGAGTTCACAAAGCTGGGGGCTCTGAGAGAGTTGGAGCTGGGTCTCCACGCAAAATTAACTGGGAACAAACAAGCGCAGGATAAGATCACAGTTAACCCTCCCATTAAAACCACCCATCTTTGCCTTGGCCATAAATCTTCACATGTGTCAACCTAATCTTTGATCATGTTCACAGTCACAGCAAGAAGCTGTGGTGCTACAAAGAGTCTTCTCAGTCACTTGAGGAGCAAGTCCTGAGAGCTGTTGAGCTTGTGTATTTACGTAAATTCCTATCTCTGTGTCAAGAAGCTTGCTCATGTATCAGAAAGGAAAGGTGGGGAAAGGAAGGCAGGACAGAAGCTACACACATGTCCGCATTACATGTCAGCATTACGCCTTCTTCAGGGGAGAGTGAATCAGAAATTTTGCCCTCCATACATCCTTTTTTTGAAGTGGTTCATTTTGACTTGATTTGACTGCACAGGAGACATTGCAAACCAGCCTTCGTGCTGATACTGCCAGCCAGTAGGTAAGGAATCTGGTGCAGACAGCCACCACAGCACTGCCTAAAACACGCTCAAAAACATCAGTCATGGGGATTACACAATGTATTTCACTGCTGTTTACATGCAGAAATCTCACCATCGGGGTTAATCTTGTAGAAGCAAGTACAATTAGGTGATACTTTGTATGTATGATAAAACCTGAGCCACAGGGCTCTGTGCCAGGCTCCATTCTCATAAATGAGTAAATCCAGAGCAACTCCCCTAACTTCATTGGAGATTACATCAAAGCTGAACTCAAATTCATATTCTAGGTTCTCACTGCCTACACACAGCCTACAACATTGCCTAAACTGATCCCTGGCTGCCTCATTTCTGGCACCTTAAAGGAACAGTCAACAAATACACAAATACATATAGGGGGTTGTATTACCATTATTATTATTATTATTATTATTATTATTATTATTATTATTATTATTATTTACATACTCACATGTATGTAGTGTGAATTATTATTAGCTGTGCTGGAAATAGAAGCCTAACACCAAGAATTTTCTGGTATGGATTTTACATTTTAATAAGTCCATGTGCACCTATGTGCTATTCATGCAGTGAGTAGAATTTATAGACTCATGAGCCATGAAAAAAGGGAGGAGAAAGAAAAGTTTATCAGAACAACGGAGTGGAAAATAACATGGCAATTTCAAGGTTAATCTTCCAAACTTAGAGCCCTGAAAAGCAATACTCAGGATGACTACACTGGAGAAAATAATCAAGTTTTATATAGTATGTTTTGGACTTTTGACAGAACTTTTAAGTCAGTTTTCCCATTTCCTAGAGTAGTCCCTTAATAAGGATATCCTGTGGCTTGGGTAGGCCAGTCCCACAGAAAGAACTTCCAGAGAAATTATTTTTAGTCTAATTTCCTAGAGATACCTGGTTATTGACATGATTACAGAGCCTAGAGATCCATTTGTCTTTCTCCTTGTCCTCTTCCGTGATTTTTGGCCAGTTGTAGCCATATCAAAAGAGACTTGTAGAACCCTTAAATTAATTACATTCCTACAGGTTTTGTGATCTTTAGGGTCTGGGTGGAGAAGAGAGACCTAAGATACTACTTTTGCCATGAGCTCTGAAAACTACTACAAGATATTAAAGGAAGATACCCAGGAGAAGGGAAGTTTAAATGCTCCAGCCATAGGAAATGCTTCCATCAGAACCTGCACTGTATGAGGTGCAGAATGTCAATAGTCACTAAAGCTCGAGTAATCAGAGCTCCCTGGAATCTTCTGCTCAGGGAACTCCTCATAAAACAATGAGAAACACGATGCTTCCACTGGAAAATGCGATAAGGTGTAGAAGGATAGAATCTGAATGCAGTTTTATGACATTATTCCAGTTTTCTAATAAATCACTAGTAATTTTCTAATTGCCTGTGACCTTTTAATAGCTACTTTAAAAATCTGTTCTAAAATGATGTCACTTGTTTTTGTGTATGGATTCTTTAGGGGCCTTTAAAAGCAAAATTTCATGGCAAATGGTAGCACCTTGCATAGAAGATTTATTGCCTTTGGGTCTTAATCTGGAGCTTTCCAAGAGCCTTGAAGATAAAACTTTGACTTAAATATTATTTCTGTACTCCACACTCACCGCACATACAACTGACATGTGTGGATGGGGTGACTCCTGGGAACTTAACCACTCCATGTGGGAGCTCCCTGTGCCACTTCCATCCTTCACCATGGCTCAGCATTCACTTGAGATGAAAGGAAACTGGCTAGAACTCAAGATTTGGAAGAAACTATTGAAAATAGAGAACCCAGATCTTGAGTTTGCAGCTGTCTGGACAGTGGATGGGGAAAAAAAGCTCCAATTTTGTGCCTCCTTGCAGCTGTTAACTGTAAAGTTTAAAGCTGACATATTAGGCACCAAAGACAAACAAATCATGTGCATTTAATTTATCATCCAACGAAAGAAAATTGGAGTTCCTGTAGCGCATCTTCAGATGGGAAAAACCACACCAAAACCTTTCTTTTTAAGATGCCAACAAGTCTCCCAGAGAATGTGTATTCAAATGTCACAGATGGCAAGCACCACTCTATAAAGCATGCAAAAGTACAAATTCATCCACTGAACC